CGCCGATCTTATCTTCCGATTCTTCGTCTGTCTCTCTCGTTCCACCGGCCGGCTGTACACTCGCCTCCCGTGTCTGCGGCCCCTCGCCACTCCTTTATCTCCATGTGCACGTTTATACGCGCGACTGAGTAATGCTTTTATTTATCAAAACGTCCTTTGTTAATGAATCGAAGAAATGGTATGTGCTGACCGCGAGCGTACGAATTCAAGAGACAGAGAGACAGAGAGACAGGTAGACAGAGTGAGAGAGAGAGAGAGACAGACAGACAGAGTGAGAGAGAGAGAGAGAGAGAGAGAGAGCATCGGACAAAAAAGACGAAGGAAAAAGACACGCACGGCGACGTTTCGTTCGTGCGATCGCGTTGACTTTTGTACCAACTGATTGCGACAAATTTTTTTTTTGTTTTCCCCAATACAGTAAACTCGCAAACGTGGAAGTTAGTACAGTACGCTGGTTTTATCGCCGTAAGCACGAAATTAAAATACTATTGCCAGTATTTATTTTCATCGTTTGCTCTCTCCCTCTCGCTTGTTCGCTCACTCGCTCACTCACTCGCTCATTCTCAGATAAAGTTTTCGCGATGCTCGTTTAGTCGACAGATATCTGGATCGCTTACGTTTCAGGCAGCTTGAAATATTCAACGAATCTTATTCGAGGCATAATCGTTATAGAATACAATGAATGCGCGTCATAGGAATCCGATTGTGAAACTAGAATGGCAAAGGACTCGCCTAGGATCTAGGACACATAACTAAAAAGAGACGAGATAATTTCGAGAAGGCGGATAAGGTTTACACACATTTATGAAACATCTTTTAGGTCATCATTGAGTTACATTGCCTTGGATCCGTAAGATAAACTTTTCATGCCCTCTGTAAGGACAACTTTGTAAATATGCATCTGTGCAATTAGCGCAACAGCGAGAGTACTTATAATTAAAATGTCGAGTCATGAGGAACGGGAATGAAAGACTGCGAGAGCCGAGCAAATGAATTACAAAATGCCTGGTCTGGGCGTGAAACGAAAGTTTCACATATACGATATATGTCGGTGCGCTCCTTACGCGTGCAGTTCATTATCACTTTGTTCGAGCACCCGATATCTCTCTCTCTCTCTCTCTCTCTCTCTCTCTCTCTCTCTCTGTCTAGCTCACTCTCTCGCTATCCATCTATCCATATAACAAGCTATCTATCTATCCATCTCGCTCACTCTCGTCACAAAGGTCTTGACTAAGTTGACATCTGAAGGGAGCGACGACCAGCGGCTGCCGGATAGCTGTCAGTCCGGATCTGATTACACGAGGGTGTCGCGTCGTTCCCCACGAGAGAAAAGTGGCCCTCGCCAGAGGCGTCGCGGCGCATCTTTAGCCCTCGATATTCCGAGCTGGTGGTCTGACTCTACGCAATTAGTGGCTCCTCTTGTGCTTGCGATTATTAAGCGCTCAGCTCCTGAAGTCTTATTCATCCTTATTTATCCTACAGGTTTTTCTCCACTTTTAGCCAGTTGTTCATCCCGTAATTAGACGTGTAATTGAATTTTCAGATTGGATCGATATAAAGCGTGGCTCGAGCACCGTTACTGCTACTGGGACTTTATTTATTTATTTTTTTTTTTTTTTTTTTTTTTTTTTTTTTTTTTTTTTTTTTTGGCTTGCATTAAATAGGGATAAAAATGGGTTTGATGTAGAACGGTAAATCATGCTATTTTTACAAGCTCAAGTCGAAAGCATCGAAAGCTGCCCGTACTATTTATTAATGATACTTAATTGTACAGCAGGCGGAATTATGGCTGCATTAAAGCAAACATTGGACAATTGTCCGCGATAAATAACGAAATATTTACAAGAATTTATGGGGCACGAGTTACTCACATTGATTGTCTACGCTCGAAGTACGCGAGTGAGATGAGCTCGCAAATTGCATTCGTTCGTTCGTCATTTTCCGAAAATTCATAGAGCAATAAATAGATCAATAAATAGAGCAATAAATCGCAATAAGCGTCGCGTGGAAGAAGAACGGCCGAGCGCGACTTAATCGGGCGATAATTCAATTTTAAGATCAGCCCCTGCGAGGACATTAATGCGAGTCCATATTCGCCGAGCGAGCGCGCTAAGAAAAAGTAAAGAAAAATTGTAGCCACCGGGCGAGCGAAACGTCGTCGCTCGCGATCACTTAAAAACCCGTCTCGCAACATTTTCCTCATCCCCCGTGGGGCTCGAGCTCGGGAATATGGACGAGGCGGCGAGGAGTCGAGGGTAACGGCGCAGCCCAAACTCGCGGCGTTATTCATCATAACGCCGGGCTCGCTTATTTTGACAGCGTTAAACCGGCCAATAATAAATTTTTCCTGCCCGAGAGTAATGAGCAGGAGCCCGTTGGATAAAGTCGTTATCCCCGTGTCTCTCACCCCTTCTCGAGTACAAGGGGGTTCGCAATCCCCCTGCTCTCGTGGGTGTTGCTTCGCGCCGCTCGTTTGCTGATTGAATTCGCGCTTCAAGACGCACGCGCGCTGATCCCCGATCCTGGGGCCGAAAGCCGTCGCTGGGGCGTCGCTTAATGAGCCAACGAGAAGTGAAAGCTACAAATTATAGAGAGAGAGAGAGAGAGAGAGAGAGAGAGAGAGAGAGAGAATGTGAGTGGATACAGATGTGATTGCTTTGGCTTAAGTATTTATATGGTCGGTCGGCTAGATGTGTATCGGATATATGTCGTGTAATAAACTTGATGTAGGCTTGTAATTATTTAAATGCTCCTGTTGAAGCTTCATTTCCAGGTGTAATCGTACAAAGCAATTCTGAGGGTTTGTAAACGACTGTGTAATTCTATCGTTTGTAAATCTAATGATTTAACCACCCGCCATAAGATTTTGGCATACATGTTATATACTTTGGCTAAAGCGAATGGCTTTCTCGAGGACTTTACTTTTTCGTAAGTTCTGGATTATTGGCCAATTGGATCCAATCGGAGAGTTGGAAAACGAAAAAGATAATAAAGTTTTTGAACGAATGATGCGTAAATGACGAATGAGAGAAGTTGGAAGTCGGCCTTGCAATTGCATTGTGACTATAATGCGCAGTAAGTATAATCAATTGACACGAATTCTTTTACTCGATGAAATATTGTGGATCGCGAGAAAGAGCGCGAGTGATGAGATAAAGCGAGATAAAGGTATTTTTGTCGCGTATGTTGCATGAAATATTTTGTATAGTATCTGACTTATTATACGTATAAATCAGTATTTATGAGAATAGCATCCGTTATCGGCATAATCGACGTGTTATTCAACATAAATTTAATACCACCTAACACTCAAATGATTATTTATGATTTTCGTTAATAAAAGCTGGTGACCACTGGAGGCTCAACCGTCCCTCCCACCCACCACCGCCACCCTCCTCTACACAAAAAACGTATCTACTACGTAGGTCGCTTAAACCGAGAACATCATATCACGAGCGATCGATTTTAAAGAAAAGTTTGACTCTTGAAAAGACAAAAGACATTATCGAAAAAAAAGGATACAGCAGAGCTAATGGTATGGGTTGGGTGAAGGGGAAGTAGTGAGGGGAATTAGGTGGGGGGAGGGGGTAAAAATCACCCTACATGACTGCTGGTGGTGCGCGCGTAACTCGTCGACCAAGCGAGACCGGAGACACAATGATGGAACGGGCAATGTTACTCTCGGTCCACGGGGAGTTCACCTAACCCTTTCTACATTCGGTCATGATTTCTCTCTCTCTCTCTCTCTCTCTCTCTCTCTCTCTCTCTCTCTCTCTATCTATCTATCTATCTATCTAGCTCTCTAGCTCTAACTCTCCCGCTGCCCATATTCCTTGCGCCACGCCAACTGATTCGACGAGCTGATAAATCGGAACATCGAGATTTTGCGAGTGGGACTCCGTGTAGACCCGTGCACGCAAGGCGTGACGCGCAGCCTTGGCAATGATTTTTATTACCTCGAGGAAATTACGCCCCGGCGTGATTGAGCCTTTTCCCTATTCGAAGTTAGATTGGAAAGGGTGTCTTTAAAGTTTCTCGCATGAGGTCTGCACGCGCTGCGCCTTGCCTTCTGTTATTCCTAAAGTCGTTGACGAAACTTTCTGGGATTGCGATATTTCTTGCGACATTGCGAATTTGTTTACTCGTGTCACGAAATTCGTCACTCCATTACACCAACCCTCACTTCTATCGCGATTATACGACAATCTTATGCTACTATCGTCATTTAAATGATCATAAATATACCATATGAAATTTGTCATTAAAATCACTCGGGATATTGTTCTCATTATGTTTTATTTAATTGTATCGAGCCTGTGCGTGATTTTCCAAGATTTGTCGAATCAAATCGAGGTGAAATACGTGAAGGACGATGGATAACTCGATGCATTAGCTAACGAAACTGAACTATTCGCTGGCAATTGAAAACAATAAAAATATTATGTAATAAAGCGCTCGCGTGGAAAGTTTGCAAATTTACTTTGCAACGCTATAACATCAACAGACCGTTACTTCTGTACATGATAAACTGGCTTCTTCTCTCGCAAGCTTTCAACACTAAGAGCTTTCCCTAACTGTCGAGACGAATCTTTCACGAATCACGTAATCCTTACCCGCATATTGCCATTAAACCTAAAATTAATAACGTCTAAACTCCGAGGCGCTTCGTGCGACGCAAGTGCGCCACCCTATATATCGCAAGCGCAACGAAATATCAATAATAGTAATAATAATAGTAACAACAATATTAATAACAATATTAATAACAATAGTAATAACAGTAATAATAATAATAATAACAATAATAATAATAATAATAATAATAATAATAATAATAATAATAATAATAATAATAATAATAAT